AGTTTTTTATTCCCCCTCGTAGATTTGCCTTCGTATTTTCACCACTGACAATGCCATAACTTTAATTTCCTTCCTTTACGTTAATAATTTTGAGCTTTCAATGAAAATGGAAATGATGGAAAGGTGACTGGGAGGTTATAGCACCCGACTTTTAGTCATCAGGTTCCCCTAACTACTCCCCTTCTGGCACCAAAGTGATGTAAATATCCCTTGCACTAAGTGTGTAGTTCAAGATCAAATGCAAGAACTTACACTTGATTACTAAGTTGCACAGAACTTATTAACTACGGTCTAGTAAGGTGTTGAATTAATAATAGCTTTGGGAAGATAATACTTAAGCTAACTCCTACAAGATTATGCCGAAAAGATCTAACCTCCAATAATCAATAATATTCTATGATTGACATGGTTAAACCTTATGACCTAAACAGTAAACCATAGTAATAAGTAAATTACTTATCACCACGTTAGAAGACTGCTCAGGGTCACCTAAAAACTGTAAGGACCCGTAAACGGTTGCATAATGTTGTACAGTATAAACATTACTTTCGGTTATGACATCGTAGCCAGTACTATTGAAACACGGCTTACAATTCACAAAATTTCATAGATAAACTGGTCAAAACCCAATATTACAGGTAAAATATGACCGGCTAAGATAATGCGGACTGTTTGGATTGAGTCCAGTTTATATACAGTTAAAAGTCTAAAGTTCACTTATTTATTTATTTTGCTTATTACTTGATGTTAACCAGTTGCAGTAATAAGCGACGTAACAACTGGCATATATGCATCAGTCCAAATTACGAAACCATGTTCGTATAGGCAGATAAAATTATCAAGACAAATCCCAGTAGTCAGTCAGTCAGTCAGTCAGTCAGCTACAACGTAGGACCAGGCACATATGTATATCGGTCCAGGTTGTCATACCGCATCAGCACAACAAGATGAACACAGGATTCATAGCAATGGTTAGGTCAAAGGTAGTAATATGTAAGAGAAAGATTGCATATAGAGATATAGTACAAGAAGAAAGAATTGGTTCGTAGAAAGAAAGATATGAAGCGATTTTAATCTCTTAGTTTAAGGGAAGACAGGGAGTGTATACACCGACGCCATTGTGATCGATTCTGAGCCATGTCACCAAGAGTCTCCAACCATTGGTTACGATAGTCACGCGGGCCCCAACCAAGTAGTCTGCATCTACCAACATGGCTCAGACTAGAAGTTAATGACCTCAGGCACTGATGCCACGTTTTGGTTTGGCCGCCCCTAACTTTCTTCCAACCATTTCCAATACCGGATAGCATTGCGCATCGTGGTAATCGGTGTTCAGGCATACGTAACACGTGGCCCAACCATCTCAGTCGATGAAGATTTATAACCTCATCAACTGATTTACCATCATTCCCTAATACCCTGCGTCTAACCTCACTATTACTTACCCGGTGATCCCAGCAGACGCCAGCAATATTTCTAAGGCATCTGCGGTCAAATACTAGTAGCTTACGGGTGTCTTCTACTCTTAAGGGCCATGTTTCGCTGCCGTAAATTAAAACAGAACGAACTGCCGCGCAGTATACTCGTCCTTTTATTGATAGACGGATATCTCGCCTTCGCCAAAGGTGACGTAAGTTGGCAAAAGCCAAACGAGCTTTTCGAATCCGTGCTGAGATTTCGTCCGATACCAACCCATTAGGGCTGATCAGACTTCCAAGATAAGTGAAGCTGTCAACGCGTTCAACTACTTCACTCCCTATCCTTAGTTCAGGTGTTAACGCAGACCAGTCCTGAAGCAACAACTTGCATCTAGAGGGAGAGAAGCGCATTCCAAACATCCTGGCGTTGTTGCTCAGTGCTACCAAAAGACTCCGCATTTTGTCAGCCTCTTCACCAAACAGAACTATGTCATCTGCGTATTCTAAGTCGATAAGTGGACCTCCTGGTAGGAGATCAATACCCGAGAATTCAGTCGACGAGAATGTTATTTCCATCAATAGGTCTTTGATGAAGTTAAACAAAAATGGGGAAAGTGGACAGCCTTGACGGACACCACTTGAGGTTGCAAAAGTAGATGACAGTTCGCCATAAGCTCTGACTCGACTAGTAGTGTTCGAGTAAAGAGCCTTTACAAGGTTTATGTACTTCTGGGGTACGCCTTTCAATGACAGACACTGCCACAGAATCTCGCGGTCTACCGAGTCAAATGCTGCTTTTAAGTCAAGAAAGACCACCATTGTCGGACGCTGATAAGCATGCCTGTGTTCTAGAATCTGACGAATGGTGAATATGTGGTCGATGCAGCCACGACCAGGTCTAAAGCCAGCTTGGTTCTCTCGTGTTTGCAGTTCACGAGTCTTAGTTAGGCGTCTGATAATTATCGAGGCTAGTATTTTAGATATTATATTAGTTAAACTAATCCCTCTGTGGTTGTCACAGGATAATTTTGACCCTTTCTTATATATTAGGACGATAAGTGATTGTGACCAGTTAGATGGAATAACGTCTAACTCCCAGATCTTAGCTAAAATATTAGTCAACTTAATCGCTAAAATTGGACCACCATCCTTAAAGACCTCTGGAGCCAATCCATCTGGACCAACTGCCCTTCCTCGTTTCAGATTAACTATAGCCTTTTGAACTTCTGCTAGAGTTGGGGGACCTACTTCAATGTTCCATTCACACTGTCTGGGAATGGAGGGTAGTTGTAGAGTAGCTGAAGGCCAGCTGAACTGTTCTCTGAAATGTTCCGCCCATCGTTCTAAACGTCTGGACTGGGAGCAGATGAGTGTATCGTCTTTTTCCGATATAATCTCACTTACACTTGACTTATTAATTCCAGTTTCTTTTATTAGTCTGTAAAGCTGTCTTGTGTTCCCTATAGTCGCCGCCTTCTCCATCTCTTTTGCTTTCGATGCCCACCACTGCTCACGGTCGTTTCTTAGACTTTTTCTTAACCTAGATCTGATTTGTTGTCGCTCTTCATCATGTTCGGAACCTGATGGTACGAGTTTGCGAGAATCCATCAGTGTGATAGACTTTTAAGAAATCCACTGGTTCTTTGAAACTCTGTGGTCTAAGTCGCTAATAGATGTCACTGCTGCTTCCACAGCTGCTTGTATATCTTTCCAAGCAACAACTGGGTCAACCTCGTTTTCAGAACTAACTAATCGTGACCTCAGTTGTTCCTGGAACCTACTTTTGGTTTCCTCGCTACTCAGTTCGGTTCGAATGGGTCTTTTTACTGTGGCTTTTTTACCTCCAGTGAGGCGCAAACAGATGCGTGCCCGTATTAGGGCGTGGTCGGATTCCAAGCAGGTACTCCAGAATGAGCGACAATCTTGTACCGACCCTCTCCAACGATGACTGATGGCAATATGGTCTATTTGAGTCCATCGTTGGCTTGGTGCAGGGGGTCGCCATGTTAGACGATGTCTCTCCTTATGCTTAAAATTTGTGTTTGCTAAAAACAAGCGATTGTCTGAGCACAGTTGCAGCAGACGATCACCATTATCTGTTCGCTGTGCTGGAATGCTAAAATATCCACCTAAATGCCTTTCTGTTTGGTTTAAGCTACCTATCTGAGCAAAAAAATTAGGCATGAACAATATTATTTAAGAAAGAAATCGTATAAAAAATACAAGATGATTTAGAGACTTAGAATCTAAAAGGAAGCCTAAGAGTGAATGCATGCGTCATTCCAACAGATTCTGAACAGTATCACCCAACGTCTTAGGCTACTGGTTACGATGATTTCATGACCGCAACCTGTAAATAAGGTTCAGTCCAAAAGTCAATTACTTAAAGAACTAATACTGTGGCGTATGCTAATTATGTTGACATAAGCAGTATTTAGCATGCCAGTAGAAGATTCAATTGAAGAGAACAGAAAGTAATTGTAATAGCAAAAGAATTTAAAGAATAATGAAGCATGCAAAGGAAAACTGATGGAGGACGTGCAAATTATGTATTTAATGTGTGGTTTTCATATTTTATGTAAGCACCCTGCAAATTTGCACTCAACAACGAATTAGTCTTCCACACCTGAGTTCTCGTTCATTACGACCCCACGTCTTGACTTAACCGGTTGGAGTTTTCTTCCAACCCACTAATACACTAGCGATCATCGTGCATCGAATTATTAGGGGTCGGGTACACCTAATGCATGTACCAACCACCTCAGTCGAGAAAAACTCACAACCTTATCAACCGAATTGTCATGTTTACCTATTACCCTGTCTAATCTTAGCCTTTTTCACTCGAAAGCCTCAACTTACGAGAGAGATGCTTCGGAAACATCTATGATCAAACACAAGTAACCTATGAATGTGTTGTTCTATGAGTGGATACAGTAATTCCTGATTACAAATGATTTGACAGGTTTTTCTAATAAGAAACGAGACTCATGCAAACTGGGTAGATCTAACAATTGATACATAACACTTAGATGACAACCTGCTGAGTAATTTGCTAACACCTCTTATCTAACGCTATATAGTGCCACAACCTCTATTTTTAAAGGACACATTTCAGTCTAAAAAACGAAGTGACGCGCAGTAAACCCATCCTTCTGTTGACAGACAGATATCTCATCTACAGCACGATCGAAGCAATTTGGTTGAAGCCAAGCGAGCATGCTGAATGAGTTAAGATTTCACCAAGCACCAACACTTCAGAGATGATGAGACTAGCAAGATAACTTGTTTTCAATGAAATATACTAACCGACACAGTTCAACTATAAAACTTAAATCTACACTTAGCTGTAGATTATATGAGAAATGTTTCTACGGACATTAACTTTTTGATTATTTAATACTTATAACTTAAAATGATGAGATATTCTGGTGAATATGATCACGTATCTTTAGCCCAGATTTCTACAAAGAAGTGGATTTATTTTTGCTTAACCATGTTGTTGACAGTGAAAAGGTATGCAATGTTTCAAAATATACCCCTCCAAAAAATTCGTTCATAAAAGTGTATTGAAATTAATCTTACGGCTAATGTATGCAGATGGGATCCCTTAAATGCGTCAACTAGACGAATATGAGTTCCGTTGGTCGTTATTAAAAGAGCCTTTCCATCAGAGGAAAATTGTAAACCGGTCCAAATGCATCCACTTGTTTCCATGCCCAATTTGAACGTAGCAAACGGTCCCTTATCGAATGATCGTAGGTCATAGAGCTTAACAGATTCGGAATTAATCCCCGCTGCAAATATTAATCCTTCTGGATCAAAAGCCGCTGTTGGTCGACCAGAAACATGCATTACACCCTTGGAGAAAAGCCGTTAAATAAGCAAAATAAGATTATGGAGGATTTTAGAAAATATCCATGTACTCATATACTAGCCTCAAATCATTAGCAAAACTTATGCACTGATGAGACGTTGGTAATTCACTAATTCAAGCCCGAATACTGCTTTTTAACAAAATATCGCAGCTATACAAGATTTTATTAGCTTCTCTTCAAATGCTTCCATCCATACAGTTACAGCGTACATAAAGCAAGTGATTCTAAAAGATTAACTGCTCCGTTTTTTAATCACGTATAAATAGACAGTGCAACTGATGATGGCCTCAGTAGATTAGTTGTACGAAACTACATAGTAATTCATTTGACGTCTTGCACTTTGATGTTTAACTAGTGTCTATAAACAATAAATAAATTATTTTCAGATGTTTGTCAGTTATTTCTCTTTGAGTCTCTATTGCTAAAGGCAAACTACAAACTTGTTAACATTTGATGTATGCTATAAGATCCATCAACAAACCCACAAAAACCCCACGAATTTAAATTTTCGTATCCGATATAGACTATCTGAACAAAATGTATTCTCTTAAGTGTTAGTTACTATGTAGATGTTCACATAATCGGCCTTGAGCCATATTGTAATGGCGAGTCTACACAGCTGTCCAAATCAGAGTAGCTGCCTAGAGGCTCGAATCTGCGACACACGTTTTAACAGCTGCAAGCTTTAACTATTGAGATGCTTTTCAAACCCATACTTTACCTTTTGATGAACCAAAATATCACATAAAAGCTTTTTTGGATGGCTGTCTGTGTAAAAGATGTTTCGAGGAATTCGACAAATGTTGGGTAGAAACTAGTACACATATGCGCGGTAGCATGAAACAATCACCAAATAAATATTGTTTGCGGAGTCACAAAGCTTTAAAGTGAGGAAGGAATCAGTTACCAGTCTTTTGGTCCATCAACTAACTGACCCCCGAACATTTATTTATTTGAACGTATAAATATTGAAGTAAAGGGGCACCGAATACATATGCGCCACACAAGTCGCTTTATCTGCGTGTGGGATATGATACCGCCCCGGTGCCCAAACTGAAGCAGGTGGTTTTCTTAGGGGGCCAACCCCGAAGCCTTCAACCAACAGGTCTGATCCACAAGACAGTGGAGACGCAGTCTCATCGTAGCCGGTGACCAACGATTGCGGCGAGACTATAACTTATGGACGAACCAATCAGATTCACGATAACAGGTCTTGAATTTCTGCGCGAAATTCATTTACCCATTTGGCCAAATAGTCCTGGCACTATAACTGACGTCAGTTCGTAATGAAAACCTTAAATCTAATTCCTAACCATCAACTGTAAATCATAATCCTTAGTCTTCCAACTGCTTTATAACCTTCATTTAGCCATAGTAAGTAGACACTCTCAAGGTCACTTTAGCGTCGATCAAAGGTCGTTCATAAATTATAGTCTCACCACGATTGCTTCATATGCCACTTGCTCGCTCAGAATACTGGAGCCCATGGTTTGAAATCAGTTTTTCAACTTCCCTAGGTGGACTCTGTGTCTACCAACCAGGTTAAAACGCCGGACATTCGCTTTTCGTCCTCTCAATTTCGTAAACAACACCTACCGCCACAAGGCAGTGAGTAGGACTTCCCTAACAATGACTGTATATGCTTGGCCGTGTGAAAGCATTTCGAGAGGGTGAGCTGACTCTCCTACCCTCGGCCGCAACAGCCCATTTAGGGGCCCTCAGGGTAATCTAGTCTTCAGTAATAAGGATATGTCTATCGACCTATATTAATTCAATATTTTTCTAACCAAGATGTGAAACCACTCAATCTCCCAATTTCGGGGAAATGGCACCGAAACCCCAGAATCTTATTACACTTTGAGGAAATTCGTCTGCATTTATTTATGAAACCGAAAAATTTTGCGCAATTTCGGTGAAATAGTCCAAAAGGTTTCATTTTAACGCAGTAATTCCCCTCATTTTTCGACAGATATCACGGAAAAACCTGCAGGTTAGAAACTGTAACTGAAAGCCTCGAAATCATTCTAAAAGCAGAACCTATGGAGCTCTGTTGCTTGGACATTAGGCATGATATGGACGAATAATAACAACAAAACGACAGATAATAAACCTTAATACGAGGCAAAACATACATGGCAGTTAGGTGACCTCAAATCCCACAAACGAATAGTACTATCCATTGAACCAGACAGGAACGTGTCATCAATAGGTGACATACACAACGAAACGACCCTGTGTATACGAACGTAAATTCTATTAGCTTACCTTTTAGTGTGACTCTGGAAGTACCTGATGTACTTGTTATCATGCAAAGAAAGGTAACGTATTGTATCTTGAGAATGTTAGTATCAAAAAGTAATTACCATCAATCTTTGTTGAAGCGTGAATTGCAGTCGTCGGACTGTGAGTGAATTGTATCAAGTTTACTCCATATTTTTTGCTGTTAAGTGTACGTTTAGGTCTATGGTCGAATATGAGAACATGATAAACGTGATAATTACGTTCCGCTAGAACAATCGTAAGTCACCATCTGATCATCATCACTGCTAGAAATAAGCGTCTCACCATTACTGGAATAACTGAGGGAATTGATACGGTCTGAATTCTCCTTAAAATATTTCACAGGTTTAAAAGTTCTGATAGTAGAATCAGTCAGCTTCATTTGTCCCCAACACAAGATAAAAGGTAACGGGCTTCAAGGATATCGTCCACTGAAGTAGGTTGCTGTGCACTTGAAGGTCAAGCTGTCGTAAAACGATTCGTGCGTCACCTCGACAATTTGTAAGGTTTTGCAAAAGCGGTCAAATCAAGACATTTTTAGATTTGAATTAGGTTCAACTACACTCTGTCTGATAGCGTTCATCCTTCAAGTAAAGAAAACGATGTCATCGTGATGACGCATGATATACGACGATTCTTTAATGATAGTGCGCGCTCATTTCAAAAAGGACAGTGAATTCTGTACTTGTGGTGATTATACTTGCTTTTGGTACTTATTGCACTAAAAAGCATTCTTGGTCGACTTTAACTAAGAGTTCTTTGGTTAAAGTTTGAAATTTTTGCTACATTTTGTCCTGAGTACCTGTTTTTAGTCCTTGACTAACACTTGTGTTCACATTGTTATCATTTTTTGTTTTTAAACCTTTTAAATCGAATCACAATGGTTGGTAAGACTCACAAATGTGGGAAACCAAACTGTTTGTTCCCTGTGGAAGAGGGGATGCAGTGTGACGAATGCCATAAGTGGTTCCACAAAATGTGCACCCGCTTAAGTCCCACCACATACAAAAGATGCTCGAAGCCTAACTCACATTGGCTTTGCATGTTTTGCTGTGCCAACAAGGCATTACTAATACAGGAGGCTATGAGCCTGTTGGCTTTGGCCTGTAAAAAGAAGGATGGCATATGCGCCGACAACACGGGCACTGACAGCGACGAATGTGTCAGTGTAGTACCTGCTGTTACGCGACGCCTCAAACAATCGACTCTGACTGACGTCAAAGTGGAATCTTCGTTGACATTAACAGGGGGAGTAGTACCACCTGGTACTGACATTGTTAATAATGCACCTTTAATGGGAACCGAAGATTTGGATAAAACAGTCATCGTTCCAAATAGTCCCAGTGTTATGAGGGATGAAAAATGGAATACGGTACGTAGGAAACGAACCGAAAAGAAAAAAGCTGTAAGCAATACACAGGTAGTTAGTAACTCACTGGTGGACCCAAATTGTGAGCCACAAATTGCACTACCAAAATCTGAAGGTAAGAGTGAAACCCATCCTGGCGTGACTGAGAAGAAAAATCTAATAACATCGAATATTATTGGGAGCAAATTGCAGGAGTCAAACGACCCTGATCCGAAAATTAGACACGCGCATGACTTAGAAAAGCTAGGAGAATACATTCGTAGTATTTTACCAGATAACTCCAAAGGAGTTCAGGTCAAAAAATTGGTAAGAATAGGCAAGAGGACCGAGGACAATGTTGAACCCCGTCCATGCAGACTCCTTAAGGTAATCCTAGGATCGGAGAAGCAACGGGATCTTTTGTTAAGTAGCGCTCGTTGTCACGACAATTCTGACATCCGAGTTAGACCTGACATGTCTCACGAAGATAGAATAAAAAGGAAGAAAGCACTAGCTGAACTTGAAACCCGTCGGCAAAACGGCGAGGAAAATCTCCGGTTAGTGGGTTTTCGGATAGTCAGGTCTTGGAAGCGAATGCTACCAAGGCCTGTGTGGATAGGCTGTTCTACTTAGGAGTTTTATATGCCAACGCTCGTAGTATACGAAATAAGTTCTATGAACTAGAAGCACTAGTAGACAGGTTAAAGCCACTCATAGTAGCAGTGACAGAAACTTGGTTAGTCCATGACTTAGACATTACTCCAGAATTATCCGGATACCATTGCATCAGGAGTGATAGACATAGATGTAGAAAAGGAGGCGGCGTCCTGTTATATATAGCCAATGGCATAAATATCCGCTCCTCTACTAGCGAATCCCATGATAGCGGCACTTGTGAAGTCATTAGCTGTAAGTTGGCAATAGGATGTAGTACATTTATGCTAGGTGTCATCTATCGGAGCCCAATCTGCTTAGCTGATGACTTTGTTTTAGAGCACATTCATCTTTGGAGTGATAATACCAGATGCTTGATAATAGGAGACTTTAACGCACCTGATATTAGTTGGACTGATATGACCACAGAAGGATCTATAAACTCCTTTGATAGTAGGTTACTGATAACATTAATGGAGCATGCACTAGTGCAGCATGTATCCCAACCCACACGTTTTGGTGTTAACCAGGGTTCTTCTCTGCTGGATTTGGTAATCACTCATGAGACTGAGGATATTGTCGACTTAAATATTCTTCCACCGTTAGTGAATAGCGATCACGCTGTTTTGTCATTCACGTTTAGAACTAGGGACATGTTATACGATCAGGTTACACCGCGCCCAAATGTATGGAAAGCTAACATATCAGCCATTCAGGAATGCGCTGCTAAGACAGATTGGTGAGTAGATACTAGCATATCAGTTGAAGAAGCATGGTCTGTATTTAAAGGTAAATTTAGACTAGTTACGTCCCCGTTCATACCATACCTGGTACCGCGAAGACCGAATAATAGTCCACCATGGATAACTAAAACGGTCAGGAAACTCCTTAGAAAAAGGAAGAATCACTGGAATATGTTCATCTCTACTGGCTTAGAACAATACAGATCCAGTTATCGTAAGATTAGGAATGCATGTAAAGTGTTAATAAGCAAGACTAGACATTCATACGAAAAACAACTGGTTAGGGATTCTAGATATAGTCCGAAACGGTTATTCTCGTACATAAAAAGGCGAACTAAGAGAAGCGATGGAATTCCATCACTTTTGATACGAGACAATCCGTTAATCTTAGCAGAGAATGATGCCGAAAAAGCTGAAGCTTTATCGGAATATTTTAGTAAAGTGTTTTCTATCGGTAATGAGGAACGACCAATGATTCATTGTGACCGTGACGGCTCGCTGATGGATCCTGTAGTCATTGAGAAAGATACTGTTTTAAGGCTACTTCAGCATCTCAAACCTGATAAGTCCAGTGGTCCCGATGACATTCATCCTAGGATTATGAAAGCCATATCAGGTGAAATCGCTGAACCATTAGCGATACTATTCGACATGTCTCTGAGACAGTCCAGACTTCCTAGAGACTGGAAAAACGCTATAATAAGTCCGGTGTACAAGGCTGGGAGTAGGGATTTAGTTAGTAACCATAGACCCGTTAGCTTAACTAGTGCAGTTGTGAAACTGATGGAGAAAATCATTCGGATAGCTGTTATAAACTATGTTGAAGGGCAAAATCTTTTCTCCAGGGCACAACATGGTTTTCGGAAAGGCCTATCTTGCTTGACAAATCTTCTCATTGCACGAGAAGAGTGGGCTGCGGCAAAGGATCGGAATGCTCCTGTGGATGTAATTTTCATAGATCTAAGTAAAGCCTTTGATAAGGTTTCACACTCTGGTCTTAAATTCAAACTGAAACGTTTTGGAATCCATAACACAGTCGTCGATTGGATAAGTAACTTTCTCCATGACAGGAGACAAAGGGTAAGGGTTAATGGGGCTCTCTCCTCGTGGGTACCTGTAAAAAGTGGGGTTCCCCAAGGCACAATCCTAGGTCCTCTTCTCTTTTTACTTTATGTAAATGAATTGCCAACTGTAGCAAAATCATCCGTTCTACTCTTCGCTGATGACATAAAGATTTGGAGACCCATACATAGTATGTCGGATAGGATAGTATTACAGGACGATCTTAGCTCATTGGTGGCATGGTTAGACAGGTGGTCACTAGAAGTAAATCCTAATAAGAGTGTAGTGATGCAGTTAAATAACTCTGATGAATCGTATGACTATACACTGCGTGGATTCGTGCTACCCAAAGCAAGAAACTATAAAGACTTAGGAGTTATATTAAGCAATGATCTCAAAACGACTAGTCACTGTAAGGCTGCTGCTGCAAAAGGCTATAGGGTATTATGGTCAATTCGTAGGTCTTTTCAGTATTTAGATGATGAAATGTTTGGATTGCTATACCCGATTTATGTGCGACCACATTTAGAATACGGGATTCAAGCAGCGAGTTCTTGTTTCAAATATGAAGCAGATATGCTAGAAAGAGTCTAACGACGAGCTACTAAGATGGTACAAGGTCTAGCTGGCCTATCTTATGAAGACAGACTGAGACACCTTAACTTATTTCCGTTATCTTACCGTAGAATACGGGGTGATCTAATATTGGCTTATCGTATACTGAACGATGACCTTGGTATTAACATGTATTACCTCTTGCTTCCGTCTAGGATAGATCATTTGAGAGGACATTCGAAGAAAGTTCAAAAACCGAGATCAAATCGTTTACGTCTGGAGTTTCGTTTCTCGCACTGAGCAGTGAATTACTGGAATTCCCTACCGGAACACGTAATATCAGCACCATCTGTTAATATATTCAAAACGAGATTGGACCTCCATAGTATTACAAACTGCAAGGATTAATATAGGTCAACAGACCTCCTATCCTTATTACTGAAGACTGATATTATGTCATCAGTTTCAGTTTGGAAAGGACAGGAGGCTTGATGGCCTGTGTTAGTCCTGGCAATGGTGGTCTCTCAGTTGATCCAACTTTCTTTTGAAAGAGTCGACGGTTGAAGCCTCAACCACGTACTGAGGTAACGAATTCCACTCGCTGATGATGCGATGAGAAAGTCGATAGTCAACTGACAATTAATTTATCCCGAGTCTGTGAATAATTTGGAGTGTCCTCGTAAATTCCCTGTTTCGAAATACAAGAAAAATGAGGGCATATCATGTGCAAATTTGTCACAAAGCCATTTTAAAATTGTAATCAAGTCGCCTCTAGTTCTTTGATATGACAACGGGAATAGGTTTAGCTTGGCCAATCGAGCAGCATACGGAAGCTTCGCTATTCCGGCAATCAGCTTAGCTTCTGTTCCCTGAACCTTTTCCAGGAGCTCACTATCTTTTTTTAAGCAGGGGCTATCCGCTTGTATGCAGTACTCAAGTTTAGGACGTACGAACACTATATACAAAGTCAAAAACGTTTTAACGTTGACATGACTAAAAGCCCTACGTATTGGCCATAAGGTTCTAAAGCCTTTTGGCGGTTATTGCACGGCAGTGTGCAGTAGTCTTTA